TGGAAGGATATAAGCTTTATTATTTTTTCTTTGCATTGATATATAATTATTATCATTATGAATATTATCATCCCTATTAACATTTTTACAGTATGCCAATTCGCTAGCAATTATTTGTCTTCGGAATTCTTTCGATGAGAGTTTATTATCTGTAAGAATATTGTATATTATGAATGAATTGATAATCGCCGCATCTATCAGCCAAAAAAATATTGGTAGTCACCATTTTCGCCACTTTCGCGAAATTTCATATAAAGACTTGAAATGGTCAACAGACCCCATATATTTATTATACATCTTTATCATTATTGGACATTTTACGTCAAATACTTCCCCTTTTTTATTTTTTCTCTTCACAGTATCCACTGATCTCGGATCAATATAATTGGGCATTATAAATACGTCACGATTATCTCGCCATTTAATTATACTTATATTATTTTTGTCATTTCTCCAGTCAAACTCACCTCTTTTTAATTTTGTTTCCATATTCTTTATGGGCAAGTATCTCCTATTTTTGTTTAGTGTTCCGGTAGCATATATACCTTTCTTTTTTAAATCGATCAATTTCAATTTGATAAGGTGTATCCGATTCATAATCATCACTATCAATTTGGTAACGTGTATCCGATTCATAATCATCTTCGGAATCAGTGGATGAGTTGTCTAACGAAGAACCTTCAGATGGAATGTCCAGATAATCATCCATATATATAACAAGCTAAAATTATTGCGAAATGAGTTGGCAAAATTTATCAATTATTTAAAAAAATAAATATTAAAAATATTGTTGTTAGGTGGCAGTGGTTAGTTTAATATACCACATTAAAGAGATCAAAATAATATATAAATATTATTTATTTGAGCAAAAATAAATATTAGAAAGATAGATAAAATAGTGAGGAATATATACATTTAAAAATATTTGATAAATATACTTACTTATAATTAAAATTGGAATTTTAAGAAAAATCACCGTAAAAAACGTATTTTGAAATAAAGGCGCGAAAAAAAAAATTAAAAAATAACTCCTCCACAAACATATGAAAAAGAATATCTTTTAATATATATTCGTGGTGGTTTCATTTTATATGATTTACTCCTTTAGAAGATATAAAGGTTAAAAGGTGGTTTTATATTTGCACTACCGCGACCGAAAGGGTTAATTAATTTACTAAGATTTTTAAATTTGAAAAATTCCGTTTTTTTGCCTATAAAGATTTAAAACTGAACAGATTACACATTGATCGGCGCTAAAATTAATTTATATTTTTTTTTAAACCCAAGTATTGTTTTGAGCCTATTTTTTAAAAGGGCTAACTCAATTTTTTAACCAGAAAAACATCACGCAAGCTGCCAGAAGATTTTCGTCTCATATGCCACATTTAGACTTTTTTTAACAAAATCACTAGGCTTAGGCTCTATTTTTCTGGCTAAAATATTGAGTTGGCAGTGTTTAAAAAACCGCCTTAAATCGAGTGACTTAATAACACTATTAACCTAAGTCATTTTTACACATCGACTTAAAAAAAATTACGTGTTTTAAAATTTTATTTTAATAAAAACATTTTAAAAAATGAGTTTTTCAATATTACTAAACACTGTTGTTAAAATTAACTTTCTTAGTACAGTTACAATATAACAAAATTGATTACTATATTATATAAAATGATATTTAGGTATTATGTTATATTTTATTTTAAATATAATCTAAACTAGTTCATAGTTTCAAATATTACTAAACACTGTTGTTAAAATTTACTTTCTTAGTAGAGTTACAAGTTTACATTATTATAAAGGTAAAAGTGACTAGCTACTTTAACAAGACTTATTACTATATTAATTTAAAATAATATTTAGGTATTAATGATATATTAGAATTTAAATAAAATCTAAACTAGTTCATTTTAATTTTTTTTATTTAATCCCAATAATCCTATTGTTTCCAATTCATAATTATATAAATTCGAATTCATTTTTTTATACATATTTTTGTTAAGCTTGTTACATAAAAATATTGGAAATATTATATTTAAGTATTATTCTACCCATATTGTAAATGAAAAAAATAAATATTTATAATAGCTTTAAAAATGTTAATAATCATTATTAATCTAAAAAAAGGACAGTATAAATAATCTAGCTAATTGTGAGTTTTACATTATGATTATATTGTAATATTTTATCTCTATATTTATGTTTCAATTTTTTTTGTGACACTTTTAACACGCAATCAGCCCGTCTAAGCAAAGGCGCCCACATACTTTATTTTGCAGGGGCGACATCGACATAAATATTTTTTGGATTATTCTATCAAAAATAAGGCTTTGTTTATTGCTGAATATCATTCTTATAATGTTTAGGGGAAAAAAAAATCCCTTTTGGTATCAGTGGCGTAAACAATCCACTCCCCTTCCCATCGCCCCCACATGGAAAATATGATAAGGCAAGATTTTTTTTTCCCATAATACTTTGTATTGATATCTAGACGAAAATATCTGTTTGTATTTCTATTTAAATTGAGAAAAACCTCCTTAAATTTATACTTTAATTACAATAAAATTAACTCACAAATTTCTTCTTCTTATTTAAAAATGTGCATGAAAAGAAACACCCTAAAAATCAACGATTTTAATTATTATTTTAGGAAACAAGGCGCTTCCTTGAAGCGCTAATTCGTGTCTGATTGATATATGACAGGCCCACTTAGTTAGTAGTATTTATAACTTTACTAAACAATCGTTCAATATTACCACTTGATAGTCTAATCGTTTTTAATGTCACCTTAACCAATCAATCTTATTTTTTTAAAAATGCCGCATGCCTATTGCAACTAAATAATAGGATCATCAAAGATTACAGTCAGAGACAACGAATCTCAAATTTTGAAATCCATTGCTTTAATGCCTCCATTTCTTTCATGCTTAAGTTTCTGCTATATCTTTCGTTTTAACTTGAATCTTGGGTATCAATTTTCGATATTTTCTTATTTTGCTAATAAAATTTTTTTATTTATACCGTGTTTACCAAGGAATATATATACTTCGTTAATAAGCCTAACATTGGTCTAAACTTTAGCATTAGAACTTTCAAATGTAGCACATAATTTATGATAGGATAGGACTCGTATTAATGTGGGATTTAAATTCATATCAAATTTCTGATTATATAATGAGATTTGCTTCTATAACTATTAAATATATCGGAACAAAATAATATCTTAAAAAGATGGTAGAATCATATGATTCAAATTTAAATCGGTTAAAAAGGGAAATTTTAATTAATATTTTTCTATAATTTTCGTTTTTTTAATATTTATTTTGTTAATAAATAGGGTTTATCTAAACTAGGGGTCTGCAAAGGGCGGGTTTTTAGCCCACAAGTGCGGCGAGCGAACGTAAGCCCTAGTTTAAATTGTATAATTACGTTCTCGTTACTCTTTATACTAATGTGTGAAACAGAGTTTGAGAGAGAGAGCGCGCAAAGCGAAGTGGAAGAAGAGTTTTTAAATTAAATTTTTATTAAGCATATTGTTGCAAATTCTACATTTATACTATTCCTAGAAATCAAGAAGGAATGAGCATTTATAAATGTAGGGTAATGTCATTAGCCTCATATAAATTTCCAATTTTCCCATATATAAATGTGAAAAAATGGCAATTATGTATATTAATTATTATTATATATAGAAGATAATAAAACAAAATTATGTAAATTATATTTTAAAAAAAGAAAATTTAAATATTAAAATATTAATTTTAAAAAAAAGGAAAATGAAATTTATTATATTCAAAAATGGAAAATTATATTAAAGAGAAAATACCGCTATATTGATATATTAGGTAGCTTAAAAATTCTAATCCTTTCATCTAAAACTACGCATCATCTCTTACATTCTGGGTTAGAGCACTTCAGATTCTATTTTTTCCTTCCGAAATTTTTAATCTAAATATATACATTTTAAGCCTTTAATATGAAGGTTAGTAACTTTTTTGCTTTGTCCTTATCAGAATTATCATTATTTTTTGTTATAGAAAAAGAAATAATCATTTCTCTATATATTTTTTAAAATTCTTCATGCCCACGGGAACATTTTTTAAATTATTAGACCGGACCTTGTTTTGAGTGGACTTGCGGGGCTTAACCCATGACACCCTAAGAATCTCGTTTTAGGCTAACGCTGCTAGACATAGCTGATTAAACAGAGTGATATATTCGAATATTTTCTAGCTCTCAAACATATTATTAATTCAAAATTTTCTAGGCATTTTAAAATTGGGTTATCATGGTCAGACCTGCACACCTTTAAACGATCCACAAAAATTAATATTAAATTTACTATGGGTCATACTGCGCTACTTTTTTCAGAGACCCGATGCATGCAGACGCTTATTAAACCCCAGGTAGGCCAGGCATTAAGCCATTCCTTAAAATAAAACTCCAACAGGGCTTTAAATTTTTTTAAATCCGTGAATGGGGCAGGTTTTCATCTTTTTGAAATCTTAGGTATTTCATTTTTTCATTTGTATTAATTCAAATTTTTTTTAAAAATAAAATATAATATTTTAAATATAAATAATTTAAATAAAAATATTTCCCTCTATATTTATTGTTAATAAACATTTTACATAATAATTATTAAACATTTGATTTGATCCATATAAAAATTTTCTTTTTAAAAATAAAGTTAATGCGTTTAGCACACAAAATAATTATGTTTAAAAAAAATTATATATAGTAATTAATGTATTTAATATGTAGGAAGATTTTTACATTTTAACGACTTTTATATATAAAAATTAGGCTTATAATAATAATTAATACGCGAAATTATAAACAAGAAAAAAATAAAATTAAAAAAGAAAAACAAACCTGCCCGAATTCACATTTTAAGCACCGCAACTCATGAAATGATTCCTTTAAAAAAAAAAAATTATATTCTTTATAGGATCTATCATTTATGGGTCTATGCGAGGAAGATAAAAATTGGAAAAGTTTCTCAAAAATTAATCTTTCATGTAATCATTTAAATTTTTTCTTTAATTTTACAATGATCATTCAATTCCTAGTCAGGATTAACCCATCTCCCCCCCCCCCTCTTCCAATTTTACAATTCCCTATTTTTATTTTTATTTTTAAAAAAAATAAAATAAATAAATAAAAAGTAAAAAAAAAATCTTCCTTTTTTTCACAGAAAATAATTTTTTATATAAATAATTATTAAAGTAAATTATCTTTTTTTTTCTTCAGTTAAACTTAGATTTTTTTTTTCTTATGTGAATTAGGTAATCCAAAAAAAAAATTTTTTTTGCATTCCATTTCCGTAAATAGTTAAAAAAATCAAAAATATGACATTTTCTACTACAACCTTTTTATCTCCTCCCGAAAAATAAAAAAATTACGTATCATTTTTTTTTTAAAAAAAAAAGAAGAAGGGTTTTCGTGAGAGAAAATATCGATGAAAGATCCAAACAATATTTTAGGATCCATTCCTACTCCTTCATACGTGTCAGATATCGTGAAGAAAATTTCTCGTCAAGAATCCGTCGATAATTTATGGGAACCTCCCGATCCTCCAAGCGAGCGTGTGCGTGGAGGAATCATCCCGATTTCTAAGGTAAAATTCTCTTAGATTTTTAGATAATTTTTGATATCCTTAGAAGCATTGGCATTAAAGGCGGAGGGGTGGGGGTGGCTTACTTAACAACCCTAAATTAAACAAAATTTTACATGTTTTATAAATTTAAACGCCAAAATTTATTTTTATATGTATCTTAAGTAAATCATCAAAAAAAGAGTAGCTTATTAAGTAACCCTAAATGTTTAGAACAACTGTTTTGAAAACTTTTATAATGCGATTAATGTGTTAAGATACCAAATTATCCTAAGAATTTTAGTTTAAAAAAGAAAGTTTTATCCAAATATTAATTATAATTTACCATCAATTTTATCGCTTTATAAAATTAAAACAGTTCTAGACATGTACATCAAAATAAATTTTGTCTTGGACAGGCACCACCAAACCTCTAGCGAAAACCCTGAATTTTTTTTTGCGATTCCTAGAAAAACATCATTCTATTTAATTTGTTAGAATTTTTTTTTAAAATCCAAATATTGGCACGAATTTTAACTTGAATCCAGTCCAGTTTTTTTATAAATAATAAACCCCGCCCCGACAAGTTGATTGACATTATTTACTCATTAAGTTCTAACTGTCATAACGAAAAACTTTCAGGATCTAATTCAAGCTCCGTGAAGTTGGCCGAACATTTGGAGGCACTAACGATGAATATGTCATTTTTTAGTGCTTCGTGATTGCTTATTAGTGCTTCAATCCGTATAGTAGCCGAATTTAAGAAAAAAAAATTATAAGCAAAAATAAAAATTTGTACCAACTTCACGCTTAAAAGTTGATTGAAAGCACTAACGATGAAACTTATATCATTCTTAAGTGCTTAGTTAGTATCTAATTCAGCGTTATATAGGAGGATTTATTTGAATTAATTTCTATTCTTGTGTAAAGAAATGGTATACAATATTATAAAAATTCTTAAAGATTAAGGTTTATGTAAAATTGTACCGACAAGGAGAAAATAAGAATAATGATGCCAGTGATTCGTTCATCTCATCATGCACCGCGAGCAATAAAATCTCATTAAAATTTATCGAACATTTGAACGATTCCGTCATCAACGATGATTGGTTGGATGATGATAATAACGCAGAGGTATTGGATCTAAAGGCGAGATTTAGATCTCTGAATAAATCTCCGACTTACTCCTTTGATTACGTTTTCTCCCCCGGCTCCATCAAGGTTTAAATTTAAACACAAAACAAAGAAAAATATAAAAAACTAATTTTAAGAAAAGCATAATTGGGTTCCTAAAGGGGAACCATTGTTAAATTTAGTAATGTTTATTTGTATGTTCTGCCTACGAGTAATTCCTTAGGTTCGAACGTTTGCCCTCAATTGCATCATAAGTTAAGGTAGACATCAACGACACTATTCAATAAATAAATTATTAAGCCTCCTTTTAAAAAAAGTTCGTATACCTAATATCTTAGAACCCTGCAACCTCTCAACAGATGGCGGCCTAAGATCAGATGACCACTATCCCCTGGGCTATGAGCAAATTCCTTATTTGGGATTATATACGTGTCGCATCCTTCCCAACCAAAATAAATAGTCTCTACTTACTCAAGCAGAAATTTTTAAAAAATAAGCAATTACAAAAGCCTCAGTATTTTTATATTCTCACCAATTGCAATGTCTACCAATACCCTGTTCTCTCCTATAACTCAGTTTAAAAAAAAAATTTAGCTCACAAAATTAAATTGCAGACATCCGAACCTAGGGAATTCCTATTCCTTAGGCAGAGCACACAAATAAATATTTTTAAATTTAACTATTGTTCTTAAAATTATTTTTTTTTTTAAGTTTATAATTATAAAATTTAAAAAAAAAAACAAAGTTAGATTTGATAGATAAGGAAGATGGAAAGAAAGAAAAGAGAGAATAATTAGATGAAGTGGAAAGAATTATTTTAAATAATATACATTTAATGTTTTCCTGATAAACATGTATAAAAGATCTGATATGACCATTAGTAGTGACGCAAAATTGCCCCATTTGAGCCGATTTTTAGTCAAAAATTTTGCCTAAGCCTCGAGATTTCGTTATAAATATATGCCCAAATCTTTGGTGCCATCTATGAGCAAAATTTTCAGGCTTTTCTAATATTTTCCTCAATAATGAGATAGCCGTTCATATGGAACGATTTTGCATCAATAACTGTTGAGAGTTTAGGGTTAAATATAAAATTTAGCTTATTATATTAAAAAGATGAGGAACGGTAATGAAATATTTTTGTTAGTAATTTGACACTGAAGGGAAAAAGGGGGGGGGGGATTATATAAAACAAATCTTTTTATAATAATGAATACTAATAAAAAAAAAAAATTTTTTTAAAGTTTCCATCCATCTATTTTGGAAAATGGAAACACTGCTTGCATCTGCAAATCGCAATGTAATTTTACAATTAATGTTTTTAATATAGAATATAAAAGTTTTATTTATTCTTTTTACGATCAGCCAACTTATAACATTTATATTTTATTTTATGATGATTATAATAAAGGTTTTGCTATTGAAATTGGATATGTTATTCTTACTTATTATACATACATTTAAAACAAAAAAGTCTTTAAAAAAAGGGAAAAATATTTGAATATCGAGAAAAATTTATCAATATTTTTAATTTTACATTTTAAAAAGATAAATGAAATTAATAAATGAGGTTGTTTTTTTAAAAAAAAAATTAATTAATCTGTTTTTGATAATTGAAATTTTTTAAATCTTTTTTAGTTTATAAATTTTATAATATTTAAAAAAAATATATAAATCATGAAAGTAAAAAAAAAACCCTGGCAATAATAAACTCTGCTCTGGCTCGAGTCACCTTTACCCCTGTATAAAATACCCCATTATAGAATATTCTCTAAGCCTCGAAATTTGGCAAATGGATTCTATAAGCTACATTTCGTGACTTACAATTATATTATTTTAGCTATAAATCTCAGTCGGGTGGTCATATTTTTAAAAGCGAAACAACATAATCTGTTTGTTTAAAAAAAATGATAAGGGGGGTATAAGGTGATTGATAACTTTATTATTCTTATTTCTAAATTTAAATAAATGAATAATTGGTTAATTTTTTTTTAAAGGTTTGGCGTAGAATTAAAGTTTCGAGTTATATCTATATTTTTATTTTTTTTTTAAAATCCAAACTATCCATAATTTGGTATAGCAGACTCAGTTGTCACCTTTAGTTTTTTTTTGTTAAATGGCTCTATTTTTCTCCTGGAGATTTCGCTAATAGATGTCCAAAAACCTTTATGTCCATCTATGAGCAAAATCTTCAGGGTTTGATATTTTTCTAAAATGGGCTCAAATCGTGCCGTTTAACAACACTAGTCGAATTAATAGATTTGTTAAAAAAAATGAATATTGATTTTAAAACCGTTAATTTTATTAATATTCTCTTCATTTTATATTCTTTAATTTTTTGTTTATAATAGTAAATTTAAATAAATATATAATTTATATTTTCATATATATATAATATAATATAATAAATATTAAAAAAAAGGGACAAATATTTTCTTCTTCTTAAATGGGCACCTCTGAGACCAATTATATTTTACATTTTTATATATTTTTAAAATAAAAAGAAAAGAAAATATAAAAATTTTTTAAAAAAATATGATAAGATTTTTTATGTTAATAACAATTATGAATATCTTTGGGAATGGACATATTCCATTAATTATGCTCTCTCAAGCGAGAAATTAAGAATTAATTCTTTTTTTATTTTTGAGATTTATTAGGCAAAGAAAAATAGAAGGAAAATATAATAATTATTAAATTAAAATATATCAAAATATTTATTTAAGGCGGAGGGGACAAAAAAAAACTTTTGAAGTGAAATTTTACCGTATAATTTATAAAAATGTCAATTATATTATACTTATGAAATGACTAAATTTTTTTAAAAAAAATGATATAATAATTAAATTTTAAATATTTTTTGGACGTTTTTTATAATTGTTTTTAAAAAAGAATATACTTATTTTGAATATATTTTTTTATTTTTTTTAAAAAAAATTTGATTTTAATGAGCGCATAATATTTATGCTTATTGTATAATCATTATTAGGGTTGTTAACCGGCCCGGCTCGATTTAAGCCGATTTTTAAAAACGGTTTTACTCAAATATTTTAGCCAGAAAAATATTGTCTAAGACCTCGAGATTTCGTTAACAGATGTTCAAACCTTTGTGCCACCTCTGAGCAAAATCTTAAGGCTTGCATAACATTTTTCCTAATAAAATATTGAGTTAGCCGTTTTTTAAAAATCGGCTCAAAATGAGTCGTTTAACAACACTAATTATTATCCTAAAATGTTTAAACTCCCAAATTATGTCAAATTTTATTACTTGTTTTTTTTTGCAAGATTATTTAAATGAAAACCATTTATTTCATTTTATTTACGCTAAAACGAGTGGCTAACGCAACGTAATCTCTTTGGTACAAAGCATATGAGAGCTAGCGAAGCTAACGTTGGGTTATCAATGATGTTTTTAAAAAAGGTATAAAAAATCGAAGTAGAAACAGATTAAGATTTATACAGGCTTGCCCGGTTCGTGACCCGAATTTCCTATTCTTCCTTTTTTTTGTCCTGATTGAAATATCACAATTTAAAAAAAAATAGGGAGACGGGAAATATTAACTGAAAAGAATGATAATCTTATGATGGAAAATCCTATGAGATTGGAAATTAGGGATTTCAGGATTTCTATCTGCAGTATTTGTCGATGGAGAGATTAAATAGATAAACATCGTTAAAAATATTAAAGTTATTGCCAAAAAAATATAATAATTATATATACATATTTTGAGTTTGAGATTTCATTTATACCTCTATATCCTAGTGTTGTAACACAATAATATTTTATTAGGAAAAATATTATGCAAGCCTTAAGATTTTGCTCATAGGTGGCACAAAGGTTTGAACATCTATTAACGAAATCTCGAGGCTTAGACAATATTTTTCTGGCTCAAATATTGAGTTAGCCTTTTTTACAAAACGTCTTAAATCGAGCCGTTTAACAACACTAATAACAACTATAATATTTTTTTTTAAATTCAATCCACGGGGCATACCTAAATCTTAAAGAATTTTCCCCCGACAAATTCCGATTATATTTTTCATCTCCACTTTTATTTTAATCTTGTAAATTATATTCCCTTTCCATTCGTTACTAATAGTAATATAATTACATAATTACCGTGACTCATCTTAAAAAAATAGTAATGTTTAGAAGAGGGGGGGGGGGGTGAAAATTTTAACTGAGAAGATATATCAATTGTTGATTTGATTTTTACTAATTTAAAATTATTTTTTTATATACAGATAATATATTATGTATGATGATATAAATATAATTGAAATAAATGATAGGCTGAATATATGATTTTTTTATCATAATAGAAAAATGATTTTTCCAGTTAATTATCCAAGAAAATAATATTAGTATTGATATCTTAAGGTTGTCGGGACACTTTAAGCCGCCATAACCCTGTATTCGCAGTGAACACGACGCTTGCGAAGTATATAAAATATGATTACATTAATTTTTGTATACTTAGTCGCGAATTCGCGTTAACTGTGAGTTGCAGGGTAAGGCCTCATTTATAGTGACAAAGATAGTAGTTCTAATCATGCGGTGATCATCGCTAAAGGATGCCATAACTGTATTATTAAATTTAATCGGTGTGATGCCACGTGGAGCTATAGACCCTACTCTTTCCACAAATTTTTTTCAAAAATAATAAATTTAAATTTAGGCACCATGTTTTAGCCATTTTTTATAACCTCTAGTTAAGTTACGTTCATTACGGCAAAATTAAGCTTTTTTTAGACTTGTGACATGAACTTTAATCTCAATTTTTTTTATTATTTGGATTAAATATACGTCCTCAGAGCTGCTGGGAATGGAGACGTAAATTGTATACTTTTTAAAATCAGGACCAGGGCTTAAAAATTACGCATCCAATCCTGCGCTTATCTAAATATATATTTTTTTTAAATACATACTCGGGCCGCGTCGTTCAGACCTTTTTTAAAAAAATATATATGTTATAACCAGTTGGAAAATGATATATAAAAGGTCATTTAACCAATTCATTATCTTGCATTTATAAAATATAAGCCAAAAATGATATAAAAATCTAAGTCGAACCGAACCTATCGGCTCATAATTGTGTGGTCAAATATAAAAGATTTTATAATAGTAATAAGAATTTGATTTCGTAATTTTAATTTTTTCACAAAAAAAAATAACAATCTCATTTAGACCGAAAATGCTTTTCATATTTTGAAAGATATAATTCCCGACTTTTTCGATGGCAAATCTTCCACCATTGTAGTCAGCGGTACCTCGGACCAAGGTTAGATTATATATTATTATATTTCTTTAAAGAAAGAAGGAAAAAAGGAAAAAAAAGAATGAAAGGAAAGAAGGAAAGGAAAGAAAGAAAGAAGGAAAGAAAGTGTTTTACTATATACAGTCTTCAAAAAAAAGTGATTAATTCTTTTCTTATGTTTTGTTCTATTTTTTTAAAAAAATTAAAGTTTTTTTATATTTTGTTTTCTAAACAGAAATATTGGATTCCCTGATAGGCAGATTTGGAGCTCACGAAACCGGACTATTGACGGGTGCGATATATTTGACTTCCAAAGTAATCGATTCGATCGGATATAAAAAAGAATCCGAACTACCTCATTTCGAATTGACTTTTTCTAAGTCCTTGATCCCGTTAGCTCAATCGAATACAAACGAAAGTATATATATATTTATATAATTATATATAAACCTTAAATTATATGAATATTATATATTTTAAGTTGTTGCGCCTATCCAATTTTCGATCGTTCTTAATCACCGTGCCTCTTCCCTATTAGTCGATACACTTAAAAACGAATACCTCACTCATTCAAGTATATTATTTGAAACAAATACCTCATGTTAATGCCCTTATTTTTTGTAATTTGTGACGGTTTAATATATTATACCCAACTAAAACGAACTCATATCTAGTAGCGTCCTAATTAGAGAAAGAAAAATTTGAAGCCCACAAGTCTAGCTTTATATTTACCTCTTTCCACAAAATCTGAAAAATAACCCCGCTTATGTTATGCACTTATTTTTTGAAATTTGTAACGGTTTAATATATTATACCCGACTAAAACGAACTCATATCTAGTAGCGTCCTAATGAGAGAAAGAAAAATTTGAAGCCAACAAGGCTAGCTCTAGATTTACCTTTAATTACATAAAATCTGAAAGATATAGAAATCAAGGCGCCTTCTACACCCCTCCCCCCCCCATCATTTATGTAGACATTTATATTATAATGATATATTTTTTAAAACTATAAAATATCGACATTAAATCACTTTCACATTATTACTTTTTCTTTATTTTCGCCAATAAGCAATTTTTTTTTTCTTCTTTCTATTTTTCCCCAAAGATTATAAGATTGCATTTTGCTAATATAATATATATATATTTTAAAAAAAATAAAATATTATCATAAAATTATTTGAATTTATCGCGAATATGATCTAGACCATGGACATGACATTAATTTTTATTATATTTGATATTCGTAATAAGATTATGGGGCGAAATTTAAAAGAAGAAATTAAAAAATCTTGATTTGTAATTTTTGTTCGAAAAGCATATTATGTCTAAAAACAAAATATTTTTCAAAAGATTATAAATTTAGATATAAATTATATTTAATATTTTGAAAAAAATAAATAAGGATTTGTTTGAATAAAAAATAAAATTATCTAATCATTAATATTAAACTGATAAAAATTTGTTCTTTGTAAAACTTGATTAGTATGAATTTATCGATATCGATTAAAATACAAATTATCTTGTCCTTTAATAACTTGATTAATATGAAAATATATCGATTAAAATATAACTTGTCTTGTCCTTTAATGGTAGCCTCCCTCAAATTTTTGTTTTGAAAATAAATATCAAAAATATAAAATTTTTCCAGCAATACTCTCTTTTTTTTTTGGTTTTTTTATGATTACACATTAATTTTTTGCCAATATAAAATAATCTTTTTTTTGATCATCAAAATATTTTAATTATATATATTGGGTAAAATTGTAATAATGTATTTTGATTTTCAAAGTAAAAATTTATTTTCGAAGTTTGTGTATATAAAATGTAAAAAAAAGGCGAAATATTTTATTTTGGAGGACCTTTGTAAACTGATATCAATAATCTGTGATTTCCTGCAGGCGAAATTTCGAGGCTTAGGTAAATATATTTTGGCTAAAATAACGAATTTATTTCATCAACGAAAAGAATTAATGAATTAAAAGAGTTGGTGGAGTGGTCTGACTTGGAATCGTGTGAGTTGTTGCTATATGTACCTATCAGGTGGTTATCATTAATACCTGCCATCGTAGAATTTTAAAATTTTACAAAACCCTTAAAAAAATACTTTTTAAATAAAGATTTTAAAAGCTGTCCTAGAACGGGCTTCGGACAGGACCTATTTTTTTAAAAAAAATCGGGTTCGGGCTGGGTCGGGCCTTGTAAATATTTTTTTAATATCTTAAATTTATCAATTTTAATGTTGAATTTTTTATGTAAAATAAAAATATTTGATTTTATTTATAGAAACTAAACGCCATATAACATATATCCTTTATTTTGAGTAATTATACAAATTAATTTCTATATTTAAAAAATTCGGTCCGGGCCGAGCTTGAAAAATTAGGCCCGATGCAGATCACTAGTTTTTAATATATCAACTTGATTTGTGTTTAATATTCTCGATTTGACTACATTGGGGTATGAAATTTGGGGTCGGGGCTTGCAAAGAATATAATGCCCGGCGGTCTTAATTAAAAGAAATATTCCCAAAGCCTAACTATGTTAAACCTGCTATTATGATCATTCATTCATAAATACGATTCTCTCCCCTCCCTTTCCTACATTTTGTGTTTATTGCTATAAGAAAATCATGAAACCTAAATCTTCATCATTATTGGTTATTCATAGGATATATTTCACGGATTTGGAAAAAACCCGTCTGAGCCGGACAACCTTAGTAGGAACCGGTCATAGCTATACAAATTTGAACCGACCGGGTAGGTTCAAATACTGAATTTCAACCGGGCTTGAAAATTTCGTCATTTGCATCGATGATTTAATTTTTTACTATAATATAGTCTCAGTTCTCCGAAATTTGTACAAATAATATATATATTTGTTTATTTTTTAAAAGCATTTTCTATTTTAATATAATGATATTAGATCACTCGCGGACCAATCACCAGCTCTATGTAATAAGTTTGAAAAGGTTTTATCTAGCCGACAAAACGAACAGTAAATATTCTAACATAATAAATATTAACCTGCATGCCCATACCGAAATCCGTCCCGAATAGGCTCGATATAAATGGTGTAATTTTAAGAATTATGGCCGCGCAAATACGCGCTTGAACCATAAAAATATGAGTTTAAAAAAACCGGACAATTTTTTTTAAAAAATCCGAGTCGAATCAGACAACATGCTAAAAGCGGTTTAAAATATTATATATAGTTTTCTCGCTGATTCAAATTTTATTTTAAATGATAAAATTATTTAATTTATGTATTTAATTAGATAGTAAAATATACAGTAGAATCAACGTACTTTGTTTGGCCAATAACCAAAGTTACGATAAATATCTTCGACCTAATGGCCGCGATATTAAGAGATACCTTGAACTAAGAGATGTTATATATTCTCTATTGGATCTGCCTCGAGATGATTCCTATCATAACCAGTATAAATATAAAAAAAATTTTTACCCATAATTATCTTATCTTATTTTTTTTTGAAATAAAATTGTATACAGGGATTTTCGAAATTACGATCAAATTAAAAATTCAGCAATAAATATTATTAGCCATGTTAACAACACTCAAGATGAATACGTATACAATCATTTAATTTTAAAAATGTTGTCGGATATTTATACGAACAAGGAATCCAAACAGGTTTAAAGAAAATAGGGATTCAATCTTTAATTTAAATAAATAATACCGGGTTCTAAACCAAACCCTGACCTCTGGATCCGGGACTCATAGAACCGTTAACCGATAACATTTCTATTTATAAAATCAAACCCGATTCTTCTTTTATTCGATCAATAGTTTAAATAGATAATAATAATTTATATTTATACCGGACCCCTTTGGTCGGCCTATTTGGTGAACCCAAATTTTTTTTAAAAAATACAAACCTGAACTCTTACCGAACGTAGGGTCCAGAACCCTGAATTAATATTTTTTTTTAATATTTAGATCCGTTATTTTAATAAAATGGGATCTCCATTGCTCAAGGAAAAATCAAATAAAAGATATCCGTTTCACCATTATTTTGACGATTTTAATTCCAGCACCGAAGAATCCTACCCGACCGTTATATACTTATCGAAAAACTCGCGCAAATATCATGCCGACAATTACGATAATCTGGACAAGTTACTGCCGATTCAATTAAACAAATCCAAGAATAATATATACCTCACTAATCGGGAGAAAAATCAAAACGTTAGACCGGGTTTATTGGTGGAAGGGAATAAAAAGTATTTTAGCCATGATTCTCTGGAAAGTAACGGCAGCGAAACGTACTATTACAACAACAAAGTTATAATAAAACCGGGCAAGGCGCCCCTCCGCGATATATCTAGCCGGAAAAAATTTGTCAAGGATAAGCCTCTGCATTGCTTATCCTCTACGCCACCTCCCAGAAACAAAAAATATTCCTTCAAAGTCGACGGTAGTTTTGACAGAGGTCAAATGTACAGCAGTTTAAATCGCAAGCACGTAAAAATGAGGGAGTCTAAGCACTTTACAAGGCCTCACCAAGAATCCGTAGAACGGAAGCAGCTGGATAATATTAACGGTTTTATGGATATTATTAAAGATTCAAACGAACTCCAGGGTCCCTTTAAATTGAGCACGGCGCCTAATTTGAAAGAAACTTGGATTGACGGGCCGTATTCCCCGGATTTTTTAAAGAATATACAAAATAAAGTTGCCATGAATAAAAATTCCAATATCAACTCGTTCCCAGTTAATGAAAGTAATAATACGTTTGTGGCCAAAGTATGCGAGCTTACTGATAATCCATCTATCGGTCAACGCAGAACGAGTAAATTAAAAAAATTCACTTCTACGAATTGTGATTCACTTTTGCAGGTTATTTCGCGATCCAACATGATTTTACCAAATGTCACGTCATCACTAGACACCCAAAATTTAATGCTTAAACATTCGAACAAAACGGATTTGGAAATAAATATAAAAGAGTTGCAAGTCATAGGGGACGAATTGAACAACATTTTCAAGAAACACGAAGATTTAGAAAATGTATTTATGAGCGAAAGCGCTGAAGACACAATGACGGATTTTAATCTTTCCTTCGTTGACATTCCATACCTCTCGGAATCTCTGAACCTAAAGAATAATCACGATAACGTAAAATTCAGTTTTACCAAACCGTGTTTGTATAGTCAACCTCAAAAACATTTGACTTCCGAAACCCTTAGAACCACCTCTCATTCGATTTCTATAAGCGAGTTATCGGCCAAGCATAAACCGGTAATGAAAGTTGATCCTTTTGTCACGTCAACTTATTGTCACATGGGTAAAAGGCATGACAATAGTACAAAAGAATCGGCAGATATTCATAATAGCACATGGGTGAAAGGTGAAAATATAGGCAGATCCAACATATTCGTAGAAAACGATATCTACGCCAATAATCGTCATCGCGACAAAAAAATTTATCTAAACAATAGTATGACAGACATCTCTTATACAACGAAGACGCCCACTCAGAACTATCTGAAAACACGTTATTACGGTCTAGACGATCAGCATCTTACGGAACGACCTCAATGCTCAAATAATCCTCAATTTCACTGTTATAATTTTAATTTTCTACTTGGCGGGCAATCGCAGAAACTTGCTTTACCGCACCGTGACATAGCTTCAACTAAAAATCAAAGTTCCCTTAAATTAAATTTTAAATTTAAAGGGGAGGAATCCGTGAATCGAAACCAGTTGTCAACAAATTGTTTAACACATAGCCTTTCGTGTTCATGTTTTAACAACCTTTTAGGTTTACATCTTACGGCCGATAATCCAAGTCGAGATGACACGACATTGATGATTACATCGAACAAATATAAACCCACGGATATCGAGAACGCCAATCATTTTCTAATCGAACCTCCGAATAATTTTGAATCAAATTTGAGTAGAGAAGATTCGTTAAGATCTCTTTTTAATTTTTACGAAAAAGAAAAAACGACATCCTCTTTGAACTATGAACACATCTCGGAAATGGTGACAGCTCATAATTTACCTAAAGTAAACTCTAGAGAGAACGGAAGCAGTGGTTACGAATCGAGTCCAAACAGGACTAACGTTACCGAATACGAAGTCTGCGCCGGTGAAACGGAAGATAAATATTCTTTATTGGGCACTGATAAATCAAGCCCGGCTTACGATGAAATTCGAGAACAAATACACCCCATTCACCACCACTATGAATCTATTGATAAAATCAAAAATAGGAAAATGATGAATAAAAGTAAATTTTACTAATATTAGTTAGCTTTTTTTATGTGTACTTGTAATTCTAAATTTTTGAAATTTAAGAATAAAGTTATTAAAATTTTTTAAACTTGTATCGAACCGAATAAGACCTGTCATAATATTAATCATGTATTCCTTATGATATATTTGATAATTTGTTTAGTTTTGCCAATGTGAGCTCAATTTAAATAGTGCGTTTAAAGCACTTTAATAACTCAGCTATAATTTTTTTACTGTGAATAATAGACAAAAATCTAAAAGGCCAACCAATAACAGTGGAAGTTATAAGCAAAAACAACGGTGGTGGAATAAATGATGTGATGCACCGACCCGTGCTCAAAGTATCTTATTATGTTTACAAATCTGTTGTTTGTTTTTTATGAATCTGTTTTGTTTTTTTATAAATCTGTTATGTTTTTTAAAATAATTTATTTGATTTAGGATGGCGCAACTTCACCCTATATCAAATCTTCATGGGCAAAACTATTTTGTTGTTAAATTTAAAGCTGAATCAAGATTATTATTTCTCATAAATAATCAATTTATTTGATTTTATAACAAAAGATAAATTATTTATATATTTTATATAATTTTTGTCAATATTTTAGATAATAATAATAGAGTGCAATAAAGATTCATATTTTTTTTTTATTAAAAAAGTAATTTGTTTAAAATATTCTTTATTTCCTAAAATTTATGATTGGAAAAATATTGTGTTTTAGTGTCGAAAAGTTTGAATTGATCCGATTCAACTTTTAGATAATAAAATTAAAATATCATCCTTCCTTTTTATTAGAAAATTTGACAATTTTTCTTTCAAAGTTATCAATTATATTTTGCATCTTTTTAACATTGTTTTCGATTTTCATTTTCTCAACAATTGATTCGTCTAATCCTAAATATAAAAATATATTTACAAAATTAATTAATTAAACATTTTTTTAAAAAAAAATTGCATAACTTTATCGGAATTTGATGAATTTAACAGTTTCAAGATACTTATATATGTATGTATCTTTAATAACTCTAGAAAGTTATCTCCTATAATTAAAGTTAAAGATTACCAATTCTATTCTTATGTTTGAATCTTCTATTTTTAACTATTTGATTTAAAACAGATTTTTAGCATTTGAGCTGAGCATAAAAAAATCGTTTAATATACTTAAATCTTGTTCAGCGATACTTTTATTCAACTTCCTCTTTTCGCATGAAGCTATACTTGATTGACACCGCAGATATTCTAACCTTTCTCTTAAAGAATTGACACATGTATTTGTTATGGCAATCTTAAAAATCAAGTACAATTGATAAAAAAAATATATTAGATAAGTTAACTTTGTCATTTAAGGCACGTATGGCGTGTAGCTTTTTATTGACTTCTTTGCTTTGTTGATCTATATTGTTATTGATTTCGTTTATGATATGAGAAAATTCTATATCTTTGCTTTTAGCCATTTTTATTCTTTTTTTTAAAAAAATATATAAAACAGTCGACTAAGCAGACGATTTTATTTTATACTTTCAACTTTTTTAAAAGACAATAATATACTAAATATAAATTTTTTAAAAAAATAAAATTATAATTAATTGTATTCCACAAAAAAAAACTAAGGTTAGTATATCTTAATATAAATATTTTGGCTTTAATGAAATATCTAATTTATCTAGGAATAAAAAATAAATAAATTTTTATTTTTGAAAAATGATGGGTTTAACTAGAGACATACTTATAGTTCAGGCGAGTTGCCAAGGAAATGGAAACATAATGTTCTCAATTTTATTCTAATGAAATTATGTTAACATTTCTGTGGATGCACTATAGTAAAAAAAAATATAGATTTGTATTTCTAAAAAATGCTATGGAAGCTATATTTTTCTTGTCATATTCCTGATTATTTTCCTAATCCTTTTTCATCTCCCTAACTAGCATCACGAAACTTGTGGTCTAAATTATCGTTTGTTCTGTCCTTTATCTCCTCAGTTAACATCGCGAGGAGTAATATGACTCTCCCATTTTCTTTTCATTGCCCATTTTTCTGCAATATTTTCATTATATAAATCATCAAATGCATTAACAAATTCACGAATATTCTTAACCGGTATTTTACCGTTAATACTTTTACCATTTATACGATAGTAGAAACGTTGATATATCTGATTATTTTATCACTTAATTTTAATACAAATTTTTACTTTGAATATATGCTAGGCTTTCCTATGCTAAAAAAAACGTTTTACAGGAGTGCTTGATTTAAATGATACATTATATTTAATAGACAGATATTTCAAATTTAATAAAACAGTAATTGTAAATTTGTGAAATCATCATAATTTTTAAAAGTAGTATGAAAATTAACTCGTTACTTTTGTAATTGCATTCCAAAAAAATAACTTATTTTAAAAACAACTAAACCTTGTTTTTGAAAATTTATTATGGGGATCCTCACTTTTTGAAAGATTTTTTTTTTCGAGAATAAATAAGTAATTTTGTTAGATAAGAGTAAGTAAATTAACAATATATCAAAATATTTATAATATTGTGCCGTAAAATTAATAACCAGAATTAATATCGAAAGGTAAAACAAGTAGAAAAAAACATAATCGATCATATGGCTATAATTTTTGATATTGCATGCATTAATGCTAAGAGATTTGTTTCACTTCAACGAATGAAACTCACAGCCATGCAACAAAAGCTAATTCGTTTTCAGAACATGCATTTATCAAACTTTCACTTAAAAAATTTATTCAAGAAGCGATGAAAAAATATATAATTTTACATTTTAATGGCCGCCAATATATTTGAAGCGATGGAAAATATATAAATATTATACAATTTTATTGGTGGCAATCAAAAAAAAATTTCAAGAAAAAATAAATGATTTTCGCATTTATACACTATGCGGCCAAACTCGATTTCATAAATTTCAATAAATTATATTTTTTTAATAAATAAAACGGGATTTATTCAATAAAAAAACTTTTTAGAAAAATATCTAGAATATTTTATTTTAATTATATCCAGGCCAAAAATTTTTCTTATAAAAAAGAATTATTTTAGATAAATATGACTAATGAGTAACATTTAAAGAATAATTGATTTATATTAAACTCTTGATACATTATAATAAATACTTCCAAATACATTTGTAACTATTAAGGTGAAATTAATATAAAAGCAAATTTATCAATATTAATAAATTTATTCTTCTTTAACTACAAAAATAATTTTTATCACTCCCGTTTTTGTACAAAATTTTCCTGTATATGTCAGCTTCCCTAGCCATATCATCTACAGTTCTCCAATTCCCTGTTTCAGGTTTAATGCTTTGTGCATCACGCTCTGCTAATCTGCGATATATCTCGTTGTCATCAACATCCGCGTTAGAATCATCTTCTGATCATTATAAGAAGAAAATAAAAGGATAATTAATTTTAGGAAATACCAGGGAACATTAAACGGAATGTTCCGGGACCGGAAACTTGGGGGAAATTATATGCTATAAGTAGGGAGGGGTGATTTGGAAAACTTTCCAAAAGATAATATGAATATTATATTATTTTAATTTATTACAATAATTTTAAATATACAATACTTGTAATGGCTCGTTCATAAATATTTTGTTTTTCTTTATTTAAGGCTGGATTCATAGTAGGATCCAATCCGAAACAACAGCTAATCGATTTTAAAAATCTGTTTATGAAATCAATTTCTCATTATTAGTAATAATTTTTTTCTATAATTTTATTCATGATAATAATCTAAGCATTATAGATTTTAAATTAAAAATCATTAAAATATTTATAAAATGTCTCCGTCTCAGCTGTCAAATCAGATCCCGCTCAGAGATCTGCATGGGCCTTAATTTTTTGAGTAAGCTCGGCCATAGCCCGCATAAATTTTTTTTAGGAGAAGCATAATATTTCTCGTACTAGACCCGTTAGAAAATATAAGATTAGGCCCATAAGCCAATAAAGGTTTCTGATTCTACTATGAATCAGGCCTAGTTCCAGTTTGCTTCACATAATAATATTACATACTTGTAATTTAAAGATTACATAAATAAAAATTTAATTCAAAATTTAAGATAAGTTTAATTGTTTTTAAAATTAATATTATGATAAAAAGTTTCAAAGTTCAATGGAAAATTTGCTACCAAGTTAGTGATGCGTTTTTTTGCACTCAAATTTATATTAATACAACTGCGCAGAATGTAAATAAAAAATATAATTAGGAGATCTTAATTTTAATACTTAGATCTAATAGAAGTAAAATTATGTATTTTTTTGGAACGCCTCATAGAACGTTCCGAAACAGAAGCAAAACATGATGTTTTGACCGGCACAGAGCCAGTCTTTTTTTGGGTCCCTGGGAAATTTATATTGATACAATAATCAAAATAATTTAAATTTTTTTAAAATTCATTATCTATCCAATTTAAAAAAAATAATTAGTTATTTTTGCAGTGAATAAATATTTATATTTTTTTAAAAAAATGTTTTAGAGACAAATCAATAAAAACTATTTCCTTTAAATATTTGCTTCTCATACAACATTCAATTTTATAAAATGTGCGTTAAAAAAAATGTACAGGTACGTTTTATTTTATGAAACATTGATAAAAGTCGTCAGATGATCACTCAAATGTGGTTATGGTTCTGTAAAAAGAGAAATAAGAATTTTAAAAATATTTTAATAAAAAATTAAAATAAATATCCAATATAAACTGCGTTATATGAAAATAAAGATAAAGAAGAACCATGTGATCATTTTATCACCAAGTGATATAAAGCATAGTCAGTTAATGAAAGACAAATTCCAATATTTTATTATATAAGAAAATAAAATTAACATGGCTTCAGGTTTCAATGAAATGCGAAAAAAAAATGATAAGTAACTTGCCACTAACTTTTCTTCAAATCTCCTTTGTGACGAGGTATGAGATGCACATGCACTTGAGGCACCGTAGCACCCGCTGCTTTACCGTCTTGCACCGTCACAGTGAAAGCGGGACCTGATGAATCAATTAGCTGTAAATTAGCGTGAGGTGTCGTCGTGTGGGAACCAATCTGTTGGGCGGGTGAAAGGATAGGTTTTTTCGAAGGTGCACTATTCTTTAAAAATAAGTATTTAGTTAATGGACTGATATCAACACTAATAGTTAAAAGTGATTCTTTTTTCAAAGAAAATATAAGTTTAGTTTGAATTTTAACTGATCAAACATTCCAAACCAATCTTACAATTGAATTTATGCATGATAATTTTAAAAGAAAGTTATTTTTTAATAATTTAATATTTATAAGCATGAGATTATAATCTTTGTAATTAAAATCTTACTGGATTGTTATTAAAATACGTGGGAGCTAACGCCTTGCGTGCCACGATTTTAGCCAAATCGAAAAGAGCCGCTACTTCGCTCCGCGAACAATCTAACATGAGCGATTCAGGAGGGTTATGGATCTAAAAATTCCACGTCAGTTTTAAAAAAATACATAAATAAAAAAATGGTGGCGATATCGAATAGCTTTTTTTTTCAAATAATCAGTGAATTTATATAAATATAACTGTTAAAATATTCTGATTGATTTTTTTATTTCTTTTTCACTATCTATTAACTTAATATTAACCTTACGGACTGATTTTTTTATTTCTTTTATTTACATTATATTAACTTAATATTAACCTTACGGACTGATCTTATAATATTAACTTAATAGTTTGGTTTAAAATGATTTTATATTAACTGATTATGTAAAGTATAAATATAGATGTAAAATTTACTAGATTTAGTAGTTTTAAAATTTTTAAATAAAGAAAATTAAATGTTAAAATACTTTCTTAATTTTGTTTAACTCCCTGCCTACTTTAACTATAACAAGTGAAGCTTAATTTTTTTAAAAAATGCATATTTTTTACATAATAACATTAACTTATATCTAATTTTTTTTATAATAGGCAAATTGTATATTTCGTTTATTATAAAGAATTTAAAAAAATCCAAGCTGGGCATTAAAGTATAGGCATTTAGTCATACAAAATGGAGCTATAAAGGGTAGGGTATTTAGAACTTGGTATCTAGTGCTACAAAAGGCTTACGAAAGGCAAAGCATTTAGAGCTACAAAAGACAGGGCATTAAGAGCTACAAAAGGGATGGCGTTTAATGCTACAAATGTCTGGGCATTGGTTTTAAACATATCCATTTAGGATCTTATCGTAACTAAGATCCCCAAAGAAAGGTAATATATAAAAATGTAAAGTAAAATAAAATAAATAGCATTGCTATTGATTAAACAATAATTGGATAGTTGACAGATAAGTTAAAACTAACTTTACCCAACCCCAAATGCAAATGTTGCATTATTTAACTGTCAAAATTTTAATCTATTCAATTAAAAGAAAAGACTGAATTTGTATGCGAAAAGAAGCGTCATCGATCTCCACAACGACTATTACTGACCAAACTCAAAGCCAACCGTAAATAGAATCTCTGCGGGCTAAACCTCTCGAATTTTTTTGGATGGATTCTGAAAATCTTAGACACGTTACTAAAACTGTTCATTAATTTATTCAAGATATTATCTTGTGTTGTTGCCATAATTTTATTCATGACTTTTCGATATTATATAAATTATATACCCTAATGGTAGTGATGAGAACGTGGCCGGGTAAAAGAGGTGACCGATTCGGGAAGGCGAAAGCGTGAAGATTTCGGGCAATCACTAGAGAAGGATGGATGGTTACTTCAGGACCGAAAGGGTACTTGATTTAAAATAAAAATAAGTATCAGTAAGGTATAAAAATATTTAAATATACTTAAAACAAGCTTTCGAGTACTTTGGTCTCTAATGCTAATGTAATAGTTTTATCATATCAATTTAAAGCTACATCCAAACCTGATTACTACTAGCATAAAAAATACTACTCTTTCTTAGTGGATTAAGAATAAGAAACAATTGTCCAAAGTTTTTTTTACACAGATCTTTTGAAGAGTTTAACTATTTATGGCCTCTCTTAGAAACTTCTATCAAGAAAATGGGGGAAACGGGTTATGAAGCAAAATCGTCATTGAAAATGAAGGGGAGTAGTTTTGATTAGGATTTCCTTTTTCGATAATTTTTATTTAAGGGGGAGGGATGGGTATAGAAGTCTTTAACCTATCTTCTATTTAGAGGTTTATGCTGAGAGTTCTTCTACTTGAACCTCAAAATAATAATTTATAAAATCGCATAGCTATTTTACTCTACATATATAGACCCATTTGAGAATTCAAATATCTATTATACATATATATGTAAATTGTCTAACATCTATATTATTAGTTACCACCTATTTATTCATGTTGAATGATTCTTAGAATTTTCTTCTTCACCTGAAGAAGAGTCCAGTAAGTTTATCATAAAAGTAAGAACACTTCGTTTAAAGTTATTCAAGGAATCTTCTAATCCTAAATAAGAATGATTCAAAATAAAATAATATATCTAGTAATAATTGGACGTAAAGGTTTCCGTTAAAATAAAGTGAATTATATTACCATTGAACACATAATAGTTTATCCGATAAATTTTTTAAAATTAATCTGGTTTTAGACATAGCCATACAATAATTTTTTTTAAAAGAAGAAATAAGTGGGGCAAGTGTATAAAACAAATTATTGAACTTTAATCGATTCGTCAATAGGTAACAAGCTCTCGTAATGATCCTCTTCCTCCGTTTCATCGTGGTCTAAATTGGAACATTGAATCAATTTTCTGTAAACGTCGTGGTCGAAAAAGAAATTCTAAAAATGCCATTAAAAAAGTAGATTTATTTTTAAGAAAAAACGATTAATAATAAAATAATTTGCATTTTAATTGAAAAAAGAAAAAAAAATTAGCTTCATCTTAAAACGTTCCAAAAAATAAAATCTCATGAATAACAGTTGATTTACTTTGTGTAAGCAATAATGTATGGGATACAAGTCTAAAAGTTAAATCAGTTTTAAAATCATAGATTTCACCTTATTTTCTACGGCTAAACTATTCTCTAAAGGCATTTCTCTTCTGATTTTCTCGATAAGACCCATTAGTTCCTCTTTACTAGTGGCCAACTCTATAACTTTGCATTGATTGACAGCTTGATCCGGGCCTCCCATATCTAGTAAAACGTTTCCTGACGGATCTACAATCATGGAATGACCATAGGATGACCTTTTATCATTGTGAATCCCCACTTGGGCGGCCGATATGACGTAGCATTGGTTTTCGACGGCCCTGGCCCTGTTCAGAAGTTCCCAATGCTTGGAACCCGTCGGTATGGTAAAAGCCGATGGGTAAGTCAGAATATGGGCCCCGCCCTGAAAACGCAGCAATGATGAGGCTCGAGGGAAACGGATATCGTAACAATGTAGAGTTTTATCGTGATGGCAATTGTTTTATAAAATAATATAAATATATATATTAGGATCTTTCAATTAAATTCAGAAGAAGGAAGTACAAATTTGGATCTTATTTTAAAAAATAATAATTTATGTAATTTTGTAAAAACAATCATAAAAAATAGATATAAATATATTACTACTAATAATCCAATGTTGCCCAAAGGAGTTTCTATAGGTTTAACAAAACCTTTTCCGGATGCTGTTGTGTCACTCTCTTTGAGTCGTATTTTTCCTGGAATATCCAAATCAAAAAGGTGATATTTATTGTAAGTGCTGACTATTTCACCTTTGTCATTGATTATAATATGAGTGTTATATACCTTTTTCAAGGCATCCTTTTCATTAGAAATCTGAAATTAATAATTGATTCATAACGAAATATAAGTTGGAATTGGACGATAATAATTAAATAATTATAAGCATTTAAAAGTATTTGTACTAGTATAAGATATAAACAATTGAATGTTCATAAAGAAGATTAATTTTAAACCAACCCCGCCCCCTCCCCATAAATAAATCCTGACAACGCCACTGCAGTGTTGTTAAAATTGCATGCTACTTTATAAAAAATAGTGGCAGCAGTAGCTCGCTACTAATTTAGAATTTTATACATTAAATAAACATAAAAATTAATAAAATATATTTCAAATTTTATAATCAATTCTAAAATCATGATCTTTTTTTAAATTTAATTTTAAAATTTAAAAATCTGCATTATACATCTATTTTTCAAAATAATTTAAAATTCAAAATGTCGATAATTTTAGTATAGATCATATCGAAAAAGTAATTTCTCTGAAAAATGATGATAATATGGAATTTCCTTTATCTAAATTCACAAAATATTTTAATCTCGATAAAAAAAAATTAACACAGGATATAAATTTCGTTGTAAGATGTGCCAGAAGGTTTTATCATCAAATAAGATTAGTAGCCTCAGCTTGAGAAAACTTAAAGGAAATATATCAAACAAATTTAATGTCAATGTGTAGCCCAATCCTTAATCTTTAAATTAAAATTTGAATCAAAGCTGTATCTATAATAGCTTTTGAGCTAGATGAGTTTATGTAAAAGTTGATTTTCTAGTCCCCTCCAAACATGATATATCAACTAACCATATTATGAATTACAGTAAATCTAAATAATTAATACTAAGATCTCATTTTATCATCAGACTCATTTATCTTCCAAAAATATATCATAAATTATTATCTTTATTATCTGGATGTTAATTAAGCATGCTTAAAATTAATCATTCATCTATTTCTAAATTTTATTAAAACATGATAAATATTTATTTCAATCCTTTCAAATTTTGACCAATTTTGAGAGAAATCAGTTCAATAGATAAAAAAGATAAAGGGTTATAGTCTGGCCAAATCAGCAAACATGAACATTTATGCTACTTATCACCTACATAATTTTTATTCTAACTGTTATTTTTAGACTGACCCTAGCAATATCAAAAACGCCACCTACTAGAAGATTTTTCTAAAAAAAATAATACTATTGAAAATCCTCTAGATGCATTTTTTTAAATCTAAAAATATTCAAATTAATATTTTTGATGATTTTCATTATATAAAAAATATGTATAATAAATTTAATACTACATTGCCTACAAGTGTAAGTGTTGAGCAATTATTTAGTATGGTAAACTTACACTTTCGGATCATCGCTCTAGACTTGGGGATGATAATATGGAAAAATGCAATAAAAATAAATAAATTATATATAAATTTAAAATTTTAGTCATATTTTTATTTATGGAAATAGAGATAAGTAAAAAATATTTTAGAGTAGCGTAAAACGTAATTAATAGCACATTACTTTTTTGGGAAAATAGCATTAGCAATAAATAGCAAGCTACTTTTGAAAGTAGTGTTTAACAACACCAAACTGTGGTATTATTAATTTTCCTATTTTTTTATTTTTTTTGTTTTATTCATACTTTTTAGGTGCTTTATTAATATCCAGGATACATGCTTTAATATTTACCTTTTTTAAAAAATGCTGAATAATATCATGTTAAACTGGATATAATATTTTTTATTTTGTATGATATAATATAACATATAAAAATTTAAAACAATAAAATACAATTTAAAATATAAAATTTTTCCCCTAATAAGGAAGAGAGTTTGATAAACAAAATTTGCTACATTAAGCCCAATTTTGCAGAAGCTGAAGGTGTGATTAGTATGTTACATTCAATAAATAGGGAATTTATTTTGGTTCAAAATATTCAATATTTTTATAGTTCAATCATTTTTTGATAAAGAATCTTCATCTAAATTGCTTAAAAAAACAAATGATATTCCAGAAGTAGCATTATCCTGAAACTTCATTAATTCTAGGTTTTTCTAATGATATCTTTGTAACTTCATACTTTGTTTTGTGAACCATGGCCATTTGCATTTATGGATGTATAAAATTATATATAAAACAACCATTTCAAGTTAGAGCTTAGTAGTACACACTGAAATGAAATGGTGCTGGAAAATATTTGAAGGAGTCAGCTGACAGATTATCCTAAATTTAAAAAAATGTATCTTTTTGTTTATAGAATATTTTAAAAAATTGATATGCTTAGGCTCAAAATTTTTCTAAAATAAAAAATTGCCATAATAATTTTTTTAAAAACACAAATTTTTCCATGGCTATTTAATTTGAAAGTATTTATTTATATCATTATATTTATTCAATATAAAATAAATATTATATATAAATTATAATCTATGATTATTTAATTTATCTTCTATTTTTAAATGTATAAAAAATAATTAGATGTTCCTTAAATATTCTAATTTTAGTGGCTCTAAATAATTGTTTCACCCATTTCCCCTTTCACATGGGCCTGGATATTATATCAGATTATTATGCTGTGATATTATACAAGAAGTTACTTTTATAAAAACAATTAATTTTGAAAAAAAAATATTGGACTTATTGTCAACAAAATTTTAAAGGATCATAGACCAAATTTTAACATCTTATGCAATGGATAAGAATAAGGAAGGGGGGGTAATCATAATGGTTGTAACTATAGATAAATAAATATTGATAGATTAAATTTATAAAATGTTAAAAACTTTTTGATGAAAACCTCCTAGAGATAACCATATAGTATTTTCCTTGGCAAGATTTTTATATTGTGCTATCAAAGGCCCATCAAGTGTTTCAGCTAGTTCTATTAATTCTTCTTTATTCCTTGACATATAATCAAAGCACTCAGGTAAAAAAACCATCTGTTAAATTAAGTTGATATTTATATTAATATAAGCAAATATTTAACATTAGCTTTTTCTTTTTTTGATTCCAAAATTAATCTGCTACAAGTTTGAAAATTTGCTATTTTATCATGGACCGAGGATAATTGACAGAGAGATACTCGTAAAGATGAATGTGCCATGCGGTTTTTAACAATATGATACGAATTTGAAAATTTTAGCAACATGCAAAAAACATAAAAGTAGTTTTAGGAATAAATAAAATTAAATATTGGTTTTATTTACATTTTGCTTGATAAAACTCTCAAATTTGGAATATTAATATAATACTATTTATGATAAATTTTGACTAGAAATTTAGCGTAATTTTAGTAAATAATTATCCTCATGATCAGGTAAAAAAATCATTCCAAAAAGATTGACATTTGAAATTAATATAAATAAAATAGAGAGTAAAAAATGCTACTAAAATGTAAAAGAAGAACAACGTCTCTTCTTATCAATCATTATAAAGTAGTATAAAATTTGTTGACTATAATTGAAAATAAGATTAAATTATTACTTTTTATTGACTATAATGTTGTCCTTACACCCAGTTCTCCCTTAAAAATTAGTATTAACTGCCCGATTAAGGTTTTAGCCAAAATAATATTATATAAGCCTTGAGATTTTGCTCATTGGTAGAAGAAAATTTCTAAGGCCTTTACTTAAATTCAACATGATTATGACAACTTCTTAAACTCAACGTAACTCAATTTTCTTACTAAAATTTTATTTTTTAAATATTAAATTTTCAATTTATTTCATTAAAATTATTATTAAGAATTTATTCAAATTTAAAACAAATTCAAATCTTCAAAAAAATAGAATAAATACTAAAAAATACATATCTATAAATATTCACAATATATTCGCAGTAAATAATATATTATTATTTTTTTATTTATTATATTTCTTTGTTTAAATTTCTACCAATCAACAATACGCAATATTATTGATTGATATTTATATATAAAAAATAATATTATAAATTTACAAATACTATGACAGAAAATTTTTGACCTCTATTTGCCAAATCTCGAGGCTTACATATTGACCCAAATCGAGTTGTTTAACAACTCTACTTAGAACTTTTGTTCAGTCTAGGGAAGCTTATTTTCGGAGAGAAGCGACCTCGTCCTTTAGATATTTTAGAAATATTTTATTGTTAAAGCAAATAAAAATTTATTAAAAGTAAATTTTTGTAAAAAATAAATATTTTATTTCGATCTAAATATATTCTACTCTCAATATTATTTTTTCAAAGCTATTATTTTATGTAAATAAATTTTTTTTTATTAAAATTTCAAATCATTTTATATATTTTAAAATATGATATATATACACTAAATACTTAAAAAATATATATTATATTAAAAATGAATTAAAAATTATGTATATTTTCTTTTAGATGCCTGATTAAAATCGTGTTTTTTTTATATTACATTAAAAATTATGCGTTATCTAAATGATTTATGAAGTAACTTATAAGAAATTCGTTACTTTTGGAATATAACTATAACTCGTTACCCTTTTAAGAATGGAACTGGTAACTGTAGTGAATTTCAAAAGTAACTTTTAACAACACTATATAATTAATATATTAATATTATCTAAATGGAAGATAACCTTTTACTTTTCTAATTTATCATTCACACCATTTTTCTATTGCAGATTCGATTACATTTACATACCAATAATTAAGTCCACTTTAACAACATATGGGGATTTGGTTAAGAATTTCCTTAAAAACATAGACCGTGAAATCAGGAAAAATTATGGGAACCTTGTGAAAGCGTTAAATTAAGACAAAGGATAGCAATAGCCATTCTTAAGGCAAATTACATTTTTATTCATTCACCCTTATGATTAGTATTCTTCCTTATAAAAAACAAATCTTTATTCACCCCATCCCACACCCTTTTTTTTACTCATAACAATAGATTATAATAACACAATATTATTCTTATTTTAGAAATTTGGAATATATATTAGATATTAGTGATCTGCATCGGGCCTAATTTTTCAAACCCGGCTAGGCTCGAATTTTTTTTTAAAAAGAGTTTTGCCTGCCCGGCCCGAACCCGAATTTTTTTAGAAGAACCGGCCCGGCCAGGCCCAAACTTATTTAAATATAGAAACTAATTTTTATAATTACTCAAAATAAAAGACATATGTTATATATATGGCTTCTAGTTCTATAAATAAATATTTTTATTTTACATAAAAAATTCAATACTAGATAAATTTAAATATATTTAAAAAAATTTCCCAAGTCCTGTCGCAACCCGGCCCGAATTTTATTTTAAAATATTAGGCGCCACCCGGCCTGAATCCGATTGCCGGGCCGGGCCTACTTTTGCAGATCTCTATTATATATAATATATATCGTTCGTAATAAAATTGGCTATAAAAATTTATTTTGTAGCATGATATTAAAATTAAAAAAATTATATATTATATAATATATTAGCTTCTCGATGTAAACTAAAATATATACATATCGTTGTAATCATAATTATTTGAGAGAGGGATATAGTGATTGTTAGAGAATGTTATGTATTTAATAAATTAATAACATGTTTTGTTTAATATTGGAATTATACAGCCATAGAATGCAATAAGTGTAATAAATTTGGATATTTTGAAGATAAAAGTTTTGTAAATATGAATAAATGACTAGAAAATAAAATTAATAGTTATTGATTATTAAGTAATTATATAGATAATAAATTGTTAATAATTAATAACAAAATTAGTGCATTAGTAATAATTAAAAATTTTGTGATATAATATAAATTTAAATAATTGTAATATGAAATAAACAAGATAGATTTTGAGGAGCTAGAGGATAAGTGTCCTAGAGTTGAATTCGTGTTACTAGGATATAGAGAGTTAAATTTTTGTTAGATATGGGTTTAGTAATAAGTGTCATGAGTATCAAGCAATTTAAGAAGATTTGACAGGGGCATATATTTAGAAAGGAAAGGATAAAGGTGACAATAGTAATTTTGGGATTTGATGTAATAGAATTACCAGACATTAATAGCAGTATTTAATTATGGTTGACTACTCAGAAGACTGAACCGATAATAGGGTGGGATAATATTAAGGTGTTAGGACCCCGTAATACATGAAGGAATTTATTTAAGGTACAAAAAAGTAAAGATGAGCAGGGAGGAAGAGACAGGGTTGGGCAAATTTTCAGAAAATTGTATTCGGATACAGATACAGATACTTTGTAAAATTTTGTATTTAAGATACAAGTTACTAGATACTTTAGAAAAATTTTAATAAGATATAAGATACAAGATACTTGTATTTTTTTAAAAAAAAGTATCTAAGATACCAGATACTTTTTTAAAAAACTTTAAATAGTCAAAATCAAAATGTATAAAGCTTTATTTCTTATCTATAATATAAATTTATAAAAAAATATTTAAAATAAATTGTTGAAAATAACAAATTTATTATAAAAGATAATGCGATATTCCATTTAATAATTATATAATTAGTAAATAATAATAAATCAGCATCATAAATCAGTATCATAAATCAGCATTATTTTTTAATATTATTAATTTTTCAAATGATTTATCGTTCAATCTTTGACGATTTGATCTATTAACCATATTAGCAAAGCTAAATAATCTTTCAACGGGGGCTGAGGAGGGTAATATTGTGTTATATTTAATAAATATTTCTTTTATATATTTATAACTATTTAACATATTTATACTCCGCATGTCATCTTTCATATAATTTAGTACCTCTATTTCAATATCATTTATTGAATTATTAGAATTGGATGTGGTACTTTTAAGGCAAAAGTAATCAATCATCTTCATCAATTGAAGATTTTGTTGAAGTATTAATTTCAATATTATTTTTAAAAACAATTAAAACTTCATATAATAACAAATCCTGAAGATATTTTTTTTCTTTTTCACCATCAATCCAACGATTTTTAAAATAGGGATGAGAAATAGTTGCCAAAAATGCACTTTTAACATTGTTATCAAAATCATATATATTTTTAAATCTTTTATTTAAATAATTTTCTATGGCAACAGCTAATGGTTTGCAAAATTGTAGATTGGTTTGAATTAAATTTGTAATTTTATTTTAACGACATTTAAAATTGGAGCTGATTCTCCATAATAGCAGTTGATTTCACTCTGTATTTTGTCAATCGCTATAGCCAATGGGGCCATTATATTGCAATATTCTTCTAAATATTGAATTTCAATATCTCTTAATTTAGGAAATTCTAATTTTTGACATAATTTAGGAAGTTCGCCTTTAAATTTTAATAAACTATGAAGACTATCATACAAACTATTCCATCTAGTGCAACAAGGTGTAACTAATTGTTTTCCTAAAACTGCTTTGATAAGTTCTGCAGTTTTAGGCCTATTATTTGCATTCCATAGCTTAGTACATTTAGCTATTGCAGGATGATGAATTTTAGAAATGTTAGGAGAATCCTTAATAGCTCTCTCGACATCTGTTGTGGCAATTTTATCGTATGGCACAAACAACGAATGTGTTGAGGTAATGTTATTGAGGCTTCTTTAGACCCTTAAATAAACAAATAAATAATTTTATTTGAATAAAAATTTTTACAAAATTTACAATATCATAATAAATTTTAAAGAAGTATTAAAGAAGTATTAAATAATACTTTCAATGATTTCGAATTCTATACCTTCATCATCATTGATGTCAAAGTCATTCTCTACAGCTTCCATAGAAAATCCAAACTCCTTGAAAGCTTTCTTAAAGTTAGAGCCGTTATCTGTAACAGTTGCTATAACTTTTTCGTCAATACCAAAGTCACGTTGAATTTCTTTATTATGATCATCTTGAAGTACTTCAAAAAATTTGCCATTAAGTATGCTTAGTTTAAATTTATTGTTATAATTTTCGGTTGAAGAATCATCTGAAGACGAAGATAAACATATTATTCTATTTTCTTCTTCCATAATTTTAAAATAGACAGATATAAAAAGATTCAAATATGGTAGTTTTAATTGTTAGCAAATTGCTATATGACGACCAACGTCATATATCAAAAATTATCATCTAAATTTTGATTAAATTTTTCATTTAAATCTTAAAACAATATCATTTTAAATTTTAATACTATTTAAATTAACCAATATAAATTTTTTTTAAAGTATCTGTATCTTTTTGAATACAAAGTTGGTTAAGATACAAATACTTTTAAATAATATGTATCTTAGATACTGGATACAAGATATTTTCCAAAATTTTAAAAAAGATACAAGATAATCTTGTATATTAGATACAAATATCCGCGATACTGCCCAACCCTGGGAAGAGGGAAATAATAATTATATTATTGGGAAGAAATATGTTGACAATGATCATGTTAAAAATCGTATTAATATGGAGGAAATATAAAATTAATGAAATAAATAAAATGAATTTTGAGGGTTTTAATATTAATGGTTTCCAGAGATATACGCGTGCACTTACATTGTATAAGGGAGATAATAATCGGGGTAATATGAGAGACATTATTATTAAATCAAATAAGAAGATACTTAATGATAAACTAGAAAATCCTTATAATATGAAGAGAATTAATGGTATGGTAGAGGATGAGGTTAAAATTAGTAATAAGGGTATAAAAGTAATGAAAGATTTTGTATGTTCAATATTGAAGAGGGTATTTAATAATAATAATTTTAATATACCTGATAATGAAACTTTTGACATGGAGATGTTAAATGATAGGATAGCTTATTCTCAGGACAATCGGCGAAGAAAAATTATTAAATATAGATGAGAGAATAAAAGGGATGTATGGTGAACAATTACAAAGGATTAATGACGATAATACAAAAGAACCATAATGAGGGAGACATTACCAAAAATTAAGATAATATCAAAACCGATAATAATAAGGATACTGAGGGAGAATACCAGAAATAATGATAATATAAATATGAGAGTGGTTCAAAGAGGGGATAATGAAGAAGATATTGTAAATGGGAATAAGGTTTGGATAAATAAAAACGCAACTAAGGTAATAGCAACAAGTTACAAAAATATGGTGAAGGAATCAATAAAGTGTTGAAAGTTAAATATATACAAGAGATGGAGGAATTATTGATACGATACAATGAGATTTTTATAAAGGAACTGGGTACATTAAATAATTTTAAGGTGAATATAAAATTGAGAGATAATTCGATACCTAAGTATTTCAAACTCGTCGCCTTTCTTTTGAATGGCGGGATGATTGATATTGAAAAGAAGTTAGACAGATGGGTACAGGAGGGAATTATAGAGCCAGTGGATAATAGTAGTTAAGCGACACCGCTAGTGCCAATTAAAAAATATACTATATAATATATTAGCTTCTCGATAAATTAAACTAAAATATATATATATATTGTTGTAATCATGATTATATGAGAGAGGGATATATATAGTGATTTATTTAGAGTGTTATGTATTTTGATAAATTAATAACATTTTTTGTTTATTATTGTTTTAAAAGAGAATGTGTAAATAAAGAAAAAAAAAGGGATAGTGTGAATAATATTATTTTCATACGAAAGATTTTGCTATAATTAAAAATTTAATAAGATATAAACCTTTGTTTAAAATTATTAGATGTTGGAATTCTGCCAGTGGAACCATATATTCCATGTTTTATAAATTGGACTAATAGTTCTTACATCCTATAATCTAAGGAATATTACTAAGAATGGGGAAGGAAAGCGAAAATTATCGTGATTTCTTTAAAATATATATAGCCGGCTAATAAGTTAATCTAATTGAGATAACGAAAAAGATTTATATCTTAAGATAATTAACATATATATATATATCTCTTCTTTAAAATAAAAACTGTTTTTAAAATATTATTAAAATGTAATCCCTAGATGGCGTATTATTATATTCAGATTATATCTAATTGTAATTTTAGATAAAAAAAATTAAACTATATATCCAAATTCACATGTGATTTAATTTTATCAGTTAAACTTTTAAAAAAATATGTGAATCTTCAGAGTTCGCGGGAACTTTCATTGATTAAAATATTCAAAAAAAATTTAAATAGCGTGATTATGCGGAATAAACGCAATTAAATTTTATGAGTGTTGGAGAATTTATTTTATTAAATTATAAATTTATCAATCTTTATTTCAACATTTTTCATATCCATAAAATCAAAATATAAAATAAATTAAACGGAAATCTCTACTTTTTATTTAAAATATTTTTATCCTTATAGAAATTTTTGAGAATTCTTGACAATTCATGTGAAAATTTTGCTTTTATCATTAAATTCCGCTTCTAAAAGATCAAATGAGAGCAAAGAACGATTTTGTTCACCATTATTTGTTTATTAAACTAAATATTCTCTCCTAGGCCACATTTGAATGAGAAATCGAAAATACGTAATTACAATTTTTTTTCTAAATTTAAAGGTTGATTAGAAGTTAAAAAAAATTTCAATTTTTTTGAGATAAAAATGATAAATTCTTCGTTTTTACGAATTTTGAAAGTATAACAAACTCTGCAAACATATTCATCGATATCTATATTTTTAAGTTGAAAATAGAGATCCAAACCTTTCTGCCATCTATGAAGAAAATCCCTAGTATATATTTGCCTAAAATGTTTATTGGTCGTTTTTAAAAATCCTAGTTACCCCCTTTCCCAATCTTTAACATATTTGCAGCTTTTTTTTAAATTTTCTTAGTGTTTCTATTTTACAAAAAAATATAGCATTAGCAAGGTTTATATTTAAATCTGAGCAATTATACAATTATACATACATATATTTTGGGTTTAGAAAAATTCTCATTTTATACATAAATTTAATTTTTTAAAGAATTTTCATATTTAAACATAACCTTTATATTAATAAAATAAGTTTTAAATTATTTATTAGTGCTATTTTGGTTAATGTTAAAAGAACCTTATGCTAAAATATAATAAAATCTTACCTTTCGCATTTATTACAACTTTTTTAATATATTTTAGATCATTAAAGCAAATTAAAATGTGTACATTGTTAAAATAGATATAAAAAATTATATTATATATAATGAACATAAAATATACATGTTTTTTTTGCTCTTGAACTTGAAGAGTTTGCATGATTTAAATATACAATCTTAATATTTCTAAAGTTGTTCTTTTCAAAATTTCGCAGGAAAATAATGAAAATTGATAAAATATGAATAAAATTTACACCTATTTTTTATATTAATTTTTTTTTATTAAATTCCATGAATAAACTAGAGATATTATGAAATTTTAAGATTTATGATTATTTAGCGGGATTTTTTAATTATCTTAATTTCACCGTTTTTTCGCGGGAGAGAAATTTATTTAGCAGGACGTTCGGTAGGTTTAATGGTAATATAAACATTACACATACTATATTTATTGCAGCAGCATATCACCAAAATTATGTTAAAATTGCAAATTTCATTAATTGCACAGTTTTATAGAATATTGTATGATATAAATTTGAGCTTAATTATTGCATTTCTGAATTATATTTTAGACGCAGAATAATATAGTTATAAATAATATTGAGTAAAAATAAAGCAAACATCAAATTTGTTTTAAATAAATCATATTGAAAAATGAAAATAATGAATTGTTTAATATAATAAGAATTTCAAATAAAACATCATGTAATCTATTCCTATTAAATCGCCCGATTTGAGCCGATTTTCAAAAATGGCTAACTCAATATTTTATCCGGAAAAATATTATACAAGCCTAAAGATTTTGCTCAATTGCCATCTCTCTAACCCTTAGTTAACCACGGGTTTTTCTTTAGAAAAAGAGATTCCTAAAATGAGTCTCGCATGGAAACAAACGTATAAATCCGGAATAGCTCAGATATGTTAACCTAGCCTCTAACCTAATATTGTTAAACGACTCGATTTGAGCCAATTTTAAAACGAAATCAAGTTGAAAAATTGATCATTAAAAGGGTGCATGAGAGCGCCCATATGGTCATATGCGAAGCAATCACGGAACACGCCCTAACCTTGGTAAAGGCCATCCACTAACGATGCGCTGTTTCAAGCTCAATACATTATTTTTTAGAATATAAATTAAAAACTTTCTACTCATTTACGAGGAATTTATTATTATAGTGCATTCTTTGGCATGGATTTAAGGTTGCTTATAAAATGTATACATCTCCATTTTTAATTACATTTAAAAATATAGCATAAAATTATTCAGAAATAATTTTTTTTTATAAATTATTCAATGGCTACGCTTGTATTAAAATATAAGAATTTGATCGATGTTTAGCAATCTATGTATGTATATATTAAATAGGCCTATAATAAAATTACTAAATCAATTTTAACAGCAATTTATTTCACAATATTTCTTCTTAAATTTTAATTCGTAACCCTCCAATAAATTTAGCCTACCTACCTTAAATTCTCCTCCTACTCCCTTTGATGCCTACCATCTACCCCCTATTCCTCTGAGATGCCTACCCCTACCCCCTTAAATTTATAAGCAATTAGACGCTGCACCATTAGGTGTTCCAATAACAAATAGAATAAAGAGATAAATTTTATTAAACCATTTTCAAATATATAATCCTACTCTCGTACCAGTGTTGGCTAGCTGCTTTCTCTCTCCAGCCCTCCTCGAACTACTGGCGGGGCTTACCTCACAAAAAATGGCTCCTAAAAAACGGGCCTCGGCGTAAAGGGAAGGCACAAACATGGGATAGTTAAGAAGCTTTAACCTAGCTTCTTACCCATAATAAGCAATATTATGTTTATATATTATTGAAACCTTTTTAAAAATATATATAAACCCTACACACTTTTACTTGCTGGCTAGCTAAATCTCTCAGTGCCGGTTGGTTT